CAGCAAATGGATCGACTCCTCTAGGACCAACCTGAGCTCATCCGAAGATAGCCAAGGCAGGTTGCCAGCGGGTTGGGAAAGGCGAGAAGATAATCTGGGCCGGACATATTATGTGGATCATAATACCAGAACCACAACATGGACACGCCCTTCACAACAATACAACGAGCAAGCCCAACGCACCCAGCTGGAAGCCAACATGCAGATGGAACGCAGGGCTCATCAAAGCCGGATGCTTCCCGAGGACCGCACAGGCGCCAGTTCGCCAAACCCGCCGGACTCCCAGCAGGCAGGAACTCCTCCTGGGGTTTCCAATGCGAATGCTGCTTCTATGATGGCCACGGGAGCTACGACAGCGGGCAGTGGCGAGCTTCCAGCAGGGTGGGAGCAACGTTATACGCCGGAAGGCCGGCCGTATTTTGTGGACCATAACACGAGAACGACTACCTGGGTCGATCCGCGTCGTCAGCAGTATATCCGCATGTATGGCCAAAATGCTAATGGAAATAACACCACTATTCAACAACAGCCTGTGAGTCAACTAGGGCCGCTACCAAGCGGCTGGGAAATGAGGCTCACCAACACCGCTCGGGTGTACTTCGTTGATCACAATACAAAAACTACCACCTGGGATGACCCACGACTGCCGTCGTCTCTGGATCAAGGCGTTCCGCAATACAAGCGTGATTTCCGGCGCAAGCTTATTTACTTCAGATCCCAGCCGGCATTGCGGATCATGTCGGGACAATGCCATGTCAAAGTCCGACGAGGTGCTATTTTCGAGGACTCGTACGCAGAGATCATGCGACAGAGTGCTTCGGATTTGAAGAAGAGGTTAATGATCAAATTCGATGGAGAAGATGGTCTCGATTATGGTGGCCTTTCCAGGTTCGTCTGTTTTTACGTTTATTGTCGTCGTCAAATATAAAACTCCCCTGTATACTAACAAAAAAAAAAAAAAAAAAAAAAAACAGAGAATTCTTCTTCTTGCTTTCCCACGAAATGTTCAACCCTTTCTACTGCTTATTCGAGTATTCCGCACATGACAATTACACCCTCCAAATCAACCCACATTCCGGTATCAACCCTGAACATTTGAATTATTTCAAATTCATAGGGCGTGTTGTCGGTCTTGCTATCTTCCACCGACGCTTCCTTGATTCATTTTTCATCGGCGCCTTTTATAAGATGATGTTAAGGAAGAAGGTTACGCTGCAGGATATGGAGGGTGTGGATGAAGATTTCCACCGAAATCTAACATGGACATTGTATGATTTTATTTTTCCTTTCAGAGTTACGAGTATACCAAGTCTGCTGACCTACCAATTAGGGAACATGATATTACCGGTGTCTTCGACGAGCTTACATTCTCCATTGACGATGACCAATTCGGCGAGAGGAAAACCGTTGACTTAATACCAAACGGCAGCAACATTCCTGTTACCAATGAGAACAAAAAGCAATATGTTGAGTATGTACATACCCATTTGCATGTTAATAGTGTCCATAGGAGTACGCACCATAATTATAACTAACTGACCACTTCAAATTAGACTTATCACAGAATGGAAAATCCAAAAAAGAGTAGAAGAACAGTTCAACGCTTTTATCACCGGATTCAACGAACTTATCCCCGCTGACCTTGTCAACGTCTTCGATGAGCGTGAATTGGAGCTCCTAATTGGTGGTATTGCCGATATCGATGTGGACGATTGGAAGAAACACACCGACTACCGCGGCTACCAGGAGCAGGACGAAGTGATCCAGAACTTCTGGAAGGTCATACGGAGCTGGGATGCTGAGCAAAAATCTCGTCTCCTGCAGTTTGCAACGGGTACCTCGCGCATTCCTGTTAACGGCTTTAAAGACCTGCAAGGTAGCGATGGACCCAGGCGATTCACCATTGAAAAATCTGGAGAGATCACCGCATTACCCAAATCGCATACATGGTAGGTTCTTTTTATATCTCAATTGGCGTTTCTTTCTTTACCCTTTCATGTTTCCTTTGATACTAACTGGTTCGAAAAATTACAGCTTTAATCGTTTGGATCTACCGCCATATAAGACATACGAACAACTGCAGCATAAGTTATCCATCGCCGTTGAGGAGACCTTAGGTTTCGGCCAGGAGTAAATGGAAACCCAGCCATACAAATGCTATTTACTATTCCAATTTTTATCACAGAGGCAGACCTTCTCTTTTTTGTCCTTGTCCGAAGTGGTTTTATATAAGCATATTTCCTACCGCCATATATTTGTGTGTATAACTTGGTTCCTTCATTTCCTTCTTCTCTCTCTTCTGTATAATGTAGAGACTAAGGGAGGTGTGTGGAGAGGGGAAATTGAAAGAGGGGTATCAATATCTCCTATTTATGAACATGACATGAGTAACTTGTTTTGTTTCCCTCATTTAAAAATTTTTTATGACCTTGCTACCTTCTTCGCCGGTTCTATTTCTTCTTTCCTTCCATTTCATTGTCCTCTTCTTTGTTTTACCAGTGTTTTCCTCTGCTTGTTTCTCATCCTCCCCTTAATGACGCCCAGCAAATTTATTGTTTTCTTTTCCTTTTTCTCTTATTCCTCTCTCTCTCTCTCTCTCTCTCTCTCTCTTTCCGTAGGTTCGTAATAATTTACCCCCTCACTTCCCCACCTTTCCTCCTCTTTTATGATGATACAGATCCTGTCAGTATCCCGCACCAAATGACATTGCCAATCATTAAATAAACCAGGTTTGATATATGCATGCATGTACTGTACAATGCATGGAGACAGGTGGGGAAAGAAAGAAGAGAAAGCACGGAAAGGAATATCGAGCAAAAACATAGAGTACGAGAGGAACAGCTATATCATGAATAGGTCGAAGATATCTTAGATTGGATACTATGTAATACTTGTGCCGACACGTCCAGCGAGTATGGGGCTGTGATACAAGTTGGCATGTTCCAACTTCCTTCAACCTGGCGATTGGACAGTCAACTGACTGGTAGTTACATAGTAGT